GGTCCTTTGATAACCTATCCAACAATGCCTTTCGAGATACTTGACCTCTTACTTTCTGAACATGGACTGCTCTGACGTAGTACAAGTAGAGCTTTATCATCTCCTTGAATATGCATGCTATGGTCCCATACCTCATGTCAAAGCAATTAATGAATGTAAATCTCTCCGTCCGGCTTCTTGAAGAATGATCTTCTCCCACCAGCTGCCGGCATTTTTCAGCTGCAATCAATAATATATGGTAGGGATTAAACTCTTACCCCAATCCCGAGATTCATAATGAACGAAAGTAAAAACAGAAACAGGCCCTTAACTTGACAGCTATATTTACTTCATGCTGCAGATAACACACGACATATACGTCCTAGGGAAACTAGGGTGTGGCTAATACGATGAATTCCTAGTATTGCAAACAGGTCCATCATAGTATAAGTGAAAAATATAATTAGATTCATACGTCAACGTGTACCTGTGAAGCTAAGAACAAGAACTCCTGCCAGGGAGAGCAGTTGCACCTTCATCATCTTATCTTACTGGAAATACGCCTCTGGAATATTGGTTAGTTGATGAGGTTGAAAATAAAATTATGGCTAGTCAAAATATGAAGGATTCAGTACTTTCGTTAGAAGGAAAAGAATCTGATTCCAAGCATATGTATGTGTGTATGTATATTGAATCTGATGCCATTTAGGTAGAGAAGAAAGGGTGACTTGAGTAACCTATTTGACATAAAACTTGAGTTCAAATAAAACATATGATTCCAAATTTTGAATTTTTTGTAAATGAAAACTGTTTATATAAATCTTACACTTCAATTCGTCTAAGGTAAATTAAAGGGAAGAATACATAAATAAGGTGTTTACTTTTACACCTTTCAAAAATGCCAAAACATGTTTTAAATTTCAAAAATCAGGTTTATTTAAAATTTTAATTATGAAATAATTATTATTAAATTAATTTATAATTAATATTTAATTCAACTATAAAATAATTAACCCACCCCCACCTCCACCACCCCTATAACTCCGGGACTATTCCGGCGACCGTTCCGGTCACCACTCTTTTCCGGCGACCGTTCCGACGACTTTTCCGATTCCGACGAATATGT